ACTGCTTCTGACCAGACTGCAGCAGCTCTCCCACCAGTAGGTTTTTTTTTTTTTCCCCTTTCCCTTTACTTTGGACTCAAGCGGGGCCCAGGGAACACCACTTGTTCATGCCCCAGGGTACTGGGTTATACATTTGGTTTTGGTGGGTTAAGACCAATTGTTTGTTTGTGTGATTGTGCTTGCTGTGATGTTTTAATAAATTGTTATTCTGACTTGTGGTCTCTCCTTTGAGTTGAGTTCATTTCCCCTGCTGGTTGACTCTTAAACCAGCACACTGACAGACATTCTGTGGATGTTTGGTTTCACAGTGATTGTCTTTCAGAAATAGCTTCTCAGTCTTAAATAAGTTTGAGAACATTTATATTTTATTAACTTTTGGGCCTGACAAGACTAGTGAATTACCACACTATAACTGTTTGAGTTTGATTCCCTGCTTCTGCAAGTAGTTTCCTGAATAATATGGGTATGATTACTTTGGCTAAACTCAGGGTTATGCAGATTGTTCAGGATTCATTATGCAAGTAAAAGAGCTGTAAAGACTTTAATTGCCTGGTTTTTCACCGTCTCTTTCTTGACTTGCCACATCACCATGTTTTGCTCTCGGCTTTCTCACCTCCTTTTCAGATGATCTGCTTTTAGTAGAAGGAATGTCAATGAAGAAGGAGGAGATTGTTAGTGCTGCACATCTTATTCAAGCAGCTAAGCTTGGGAATACAAAAGCAGAGAGCATTCTCAGAACAGGTAAGAACGTAGCCTAAAGGGTGGAACACTCCCATGATTATATTTTTGGGGATACAGAAATAGTAGTGCACTGCAACACTACAAACACATTCTACACATTGAGGAACACCCTATATTAAAATTACTAACAGTAATGAAACTTCAAGTATAAGTGTTGGGGGAAATGTCAGCAGAAGTGTATATTGATGGTATCTGTTCCAATAAACAAGATTAAAAGCTTCTGCAAAGATCAGTTTAAAAAAAAGGAAAGTGTCAACATTCTCATATTGGAAAATTTGGGGACACTTCATTGTAGGAAAGTGAATGGCTAGTCTGAGCTAGCAGAGACAATTTATGTATTACTTTACACAAGATATTTTACTGTTTTACTAGCTTTAAACAGACTCCTCTGCCTCATATGTAGTGATAACAGTTAAGATGGTAGAGAGTAATGCTTTCCTGTTTTTGCTTTGCTTACAAGTGTGATTAATGTATCATTTTGTATTTCACGTCCATATAATTGATTAATACATTATTGTGCAAAAAAAAAAAGGCCTTTTTTTTTTTGTCCTTTTAGTTAATTAATGGCAAACTGATATTGTCTGATAATATAAACCCAAAACCCTGCCCTGTGGAACAGAACACCTTCCTGACAAGTGTTATTTCCTGCTTACAGACCTATTTCAACTACAGATGCCAGAACTGCTTTGAGTATTATACTTAATTTCTTTTTACTTTATCTTTTCAGCTGGGACTGCATTAGGCCTTGGAGTTGTGAACGTTCTACACACCGTGAACCCCTCTCTTGTGATCCTTTCTGGAGTTCTGGCTAACCACTATGTTAATGCTGTCAAAGACGTGATAAATCGACAGGCTTTGTCCTCTGTTAAAACTGTAGATGTGGTGGTCTCAAATCTAGCAGATCCTGCTCTTCTTGGAGCTGCTAGCCTGGTACTGGATTATACTACACGTAGAATATACTAGGTACCTGGAATAATCATAGAAATGAACTGTTCAGATTCCTAATGGGTGGAGGGAATACTTTGCCCCAGATTTTTCTTTGATGAGAACAGCTAATGAATCAGAGTAGTGTTCAGAGCAGTTAGTGACCACTTCAGCATTTCCTAATAGAAGTATTATCTTTTTGTAGTTTTCCTAAACTTCATCTGACTTCATAGGAAGTGATGTGCAATTCTGGTTTTTTTTAAGCACTTCTGTTGGTAAGCCTATACGTTACTTTTGAGTGTAGCTGAATTATTTGTAAGCATCTCTTGATGTATGGTGGGGATTACGTGCATGGTGTGTAAAATTATAGGTAACACTTGGGGATCCATATCTCATTTCCCACCTATGTGAAATGAGACGTTTACCAGCTTTTCAGGCTTCCACCCACAAAGTGAATGTGATGTAATCACCAATAGCAGGTAGTAATTTCAGTGGGTGGAAACAAGAGAGGCAGCCTATACAATAAAAAAAGGCTACACCTCGAAATTGTGGTTCATGACAGACTTGGTAGAGGCAACCAAGTTTTTTTTACGTCATCTCTAAAGGGCAGAGTCCCATTTTAGAAGCTTTGCATATGAAAGAAAAAGACAACGGTCTAGTTAGCATACAGCCTGCAGAGCAGTGCAAACAAACTCTTAAGTTAGCATCTTTGTCTTCTGGCTATGGCCAACAGTTAATTGTTTGAATTTTATTCTTTGGGGATTTCTCAAGGGACTTAATCTACTACTTTGTCTGCCAAATTAGCACAGAGGGGGGACTGCTTATTCTTTGGTAGCAAGTTAGCTGAAATTCAGCCACCTGGCACATCTGAAGATAAAGACTACCTTTCAGGAAAACTCTTCCACTGCAGAGCGACAGGGTGTATCCCTTCACCCATTCTGGTGGCTGCAGGTACACTGTTCTTGTCCTGCATTCACCGTCAGCTTTTAGGATGAAAAGTCAAATCTGACCCTCATCCTCACCCTCAGGCCTGGGAAGAAAGTATGTCAAATACCAATGAAGACTTGCCTAAGTAAACCGTGTTTTATATTTCTTTAACTCGTCCTTTGTGATATATAGATCCAGATAGTTTTTTAGCACACTTTCAAAATACTGGAGGAACTGAAAAACCAACCTGCCTCTCAGAAAGATAGCTGTGGAGGAACAGTCATAAGACTGCCCTCTGTCCTGCATTTAATGGCCTGTTTTGACACCTAACTCAACCACTGATATTCTCAGAAGTCCAATAATGTGTTAGTACATGGGAATATGCAACTGGTCATGCCTATTGCAACCGGACATGCCTGTCTCGTATTGGCCTTTTTAGCCACCAACACACTTGCAACAGACGTGGGTAGAGCCCTTCCCAAATCTTCATTCGCGAAGCCCAGCCGTGATGATGACATGGGAATAAAAGGGGCTATTTCCACACTTGAACTTCTTCTCCAGTCGAAATGAAACAACCTTCTGCAACCATTACCCGCTGCTATACAATTATCTTGGACTGAATAGCTCTTAGTATACTGGTTAATTCTGGAATGTTATCTGTATGGATTGTCTTCACTTCAACCTTCCTTCCACAAGGAATGCTTACTGAGAACTCGCATCTTCAGAGCAGATTGCAGAACCACCACCACCTTCCTGCTGTCTAGGAACAATTGTGCAGCCTCTATACCATAGTTTTTCTCAAAATGAGCAAATATTGGTTCTTAACTATTTTCAACGTTTTAGTAGGCTTTATGTCACCAGGGATTTTTAGTTCCTTTTCCTGCATGTCTTGGTTTACTTAGTGATTCTCCCTAACTTCAATACCATTAAGTCTGTCAGCATTTCTCTACAGGGAGAGTAGCTCAGATCAGGAGTAACAGCACTGAGGTTCTGACAAGGAGGAGGCCTGTCATTTGATCTTTCCATCCTCTAGCATCACAAGGGATACCTGGGTGGAATGCCTTGCTACAAGTGGGACCAGGCTTTTGCTTTCCAGACCCTCTGAAGCTCTGTATTTTTGATATCTCAAACTCCAGATGTTTTTCCCTAGCAGCTGAAGGGAGGGTGCAGGCACAGAAAAAACACAAGAGAATAAAACTCATTGGAAAAGTTTTACTCTAAACACCTTTAACATCTATTCCTGTTAAAAAAACGGTTCTTAAAATGCTTTTGAAAATGTTTTTTCTGTCAACTGGCTGAGAACCTGCTGCATATGTACACGAGGTGCAGAAGTCCTTGCAGTTTCTCCCTAAGAAGTTTGTGTGTTTATAAAATCAGAAAGAATAAAAAATCATATTTAATAGCATAATAGTGATTTTGTTTCTCCTTCCTTCCCTGTTCAGAAGCCTTCCTTGCTCTTCAGGTACTTTAATGTGGTCCAGAGTTTTCATGGACACTACCTCCCAGCTGTATCCAATCCCAGAGGGAGCAAACATCAGATGTTCACAGAACATCTGCAGTACTGTGCTTACCTGATGCTGGCCCTAGAGCAGCTCCCTTAGAGCAGCCCATATCATGAAGATCATGAGCTCCAGCAAGGGCAAACCAGACTTTATATGCAATACTGGAAAAAAAGTGGGGGAGTGAAAGCCCTCTTTCCCCAGCTATTGTCAGTGTTTCAGAGTGTAAAGCAGCAGTGCATTCTCATTATCTGCACTGGCAGCATCTGCTTATACAACCTGTTGAGTAGAGGCTGTGTCTCTGGTAAGTTCATGTGGTATTTTAACTGCTGAAGCCTAAGCAGGAATGCCACTGTCCAGCCCTCTAAAGAGAATTGCATATGACATCAACAGCTTGGGTAGAAGATCCCTCATGAACATGGATGTTTATAATCAGCATTACATAAGCAAGCAGCAGCAGTAGAGTGCCAAAAGGTTGGAAAGTGAATTAAAACTGGAGTTCTTAGTGTTTGTAACGTGTAATTCATGTAGCCAGTATAAGACCTCGTTCCTATCCCGCGTTGCTCCTCGTCCTTGCAGCTGGTGGAAAACAACTGGTTTGTCCACAACAGCTCTGCCTAACCACAGAAACCCATCCAGCCAGGACTTAGAATCATGAGAAGGCCAGTTCAGCTGTCTTTTTAGAGATGATTGCTGACGGTTTGCAAACCATATATCTAATCCATACAGCATGAAGGCTTGAATTTTTTTGTCTCCTGACCAGCAAGTTTAGTTATTCAGTATTTTTGAGTCTTTGATCTGTCATCCAGCCACTCGGAATCAACAAATGCCTCAGTTTTCTGGTGGTCCTGAAGCACTATCCTTCCTCCATTTAATTGTAACAAAATTGTCAAAAACTCGTAAGTATTATCAACTGAGGCAATGGCAATTTTGTATCACCAAAACCCATCACAGAGAGTAAGATGCAGACACAATTTATACTCTTGATTCAGAGAAATCTGATCACTGTGTCCCTTTCAAATGCCATGGAGAGGTTACAGGCAGCAAGTGTTAAACCCCTGGACTGTACACCCCTTGGACCATTCCAGATAATTGTGTTTGTATTAGAACTGTTCAGCAGAGGAACAAGCTTGCCCATGACAGCTACTACTGAAGGAATCCTCTTTGGCAAAGACAACAGACACCCATCTCGTCCATTCTGAAATACAAGCCAGTAATCTATATGTTTCCCTCTCACTGAGCTGCTCAGAAACAAACACAGCATCAAGAAACGGGCAAGCCACACCACATTGTTTTATGGCTACTTAAAACTTACCCACGTTCCACAGGCTCAGAGGATGAATGCACAGCGCTGTTGTTTTCAGGCTCCCTGCTTTCTAATGAACCCATGACCTCTCCATCCCCCTTCTTCACAAATGCTCATTGTAATTTCAGACTGCCTAGCTGCTGGCTGCCACCTGATCACAAGCTAAACAAAGCAAGTTCTATACCAGGATGTTGCAGGAGTATGCAGCTTCTCTCTCAGTGCTGCCTGAGATCTTTGCAGATTTGAAGGATTGGAAGTGTCCAGGTTTTCTTCCAGTTTTCACAGCCTGACTTAATTTTCTATGGAGATAAGCAGCAACTGTGGGAAACTAAAGCCAGTAAAAAGAGGGATGAGTATGCTCAGTTAGGCCAGAGTTAGCACAGAATTGTCACATGAAGTCACAAAACAAAGTGACAGATGCTGACCTCTGAAGAAAACAAGTCAATGTTCAGAAAAACAGACAAGGGCTTTGATTTGCCCAAATAAACCCTGAGTATTCTTCTGCTCACTGTGACAAGGTCTAAGTATCCAAAATAACTCTCAGACACAGAAAATATCCAGACCCCAGGAGTGCCGAGTGTAGTTCTGAGCTCCCCCAGGAGAGACACACACTGAAGAGTTCAACAAAAAGCAACTAGAGCATTTCTCCTGTGAGGAAAGGCTGAGAGAGGTGGGACTGTCCAGCCTGGAAACAAGACGGCTCAGGGGGATCTTACCAATGTATATAAATATCTGAAGGGAGGGTGCAAAGAGCACAGAATCAGGCTCTTTTCAGTGGTGCCCAGTGACAGGACGAGAGGCAACAGGCACAGACTGAAATGCAATTTCCTCCTGAACATCAGGAAACACTTTTTTGCTATAAGGGTGACCAAGCACTAGCACAGGTTGCCCAGAGAAATGATGGAGTTTTGCTTCTTGGAGATCTTCAGCAGCTGTCTGGACATGGTCCTGGGCAACAGGCTCTAGGTGGTTCTGCTTGAGCAGAGGGGTTGAACCAGATGATCTCCAGAGGTCCCTTCCAACCACAGCCAGCCTGTGATTCTGTAACAGCACTGATAAAGGAGACAGTGAGCTAGCATACTTGAATATAAAATTAAGGCAGAAAAGGTAATCTACAAAATCTCAGCACAAGAGCTAGAGGAAATAACCCAAACCCACAGAGCTGCCTTTTAAGTGTTCCAGCTAGACGAAATACATAAAAAAACTGCAAAGATATTCTTAGCCTCTGGAAACCCGGCTTATAAAATACTCCTTTAATATTGCTGTAATATTGCTCTAATATTGCTTTGGCCTTGGATTTGAGTCTT